TTTTTTAAGATTGTTTGTTTCTCCTGGATCCCTTGCATTTCCATATGATGTTTAGGATAAACTTGTCAATTTCTGCAAAAATGCCCAGTGGGATTGATAGAAGTGCACTGAATCTGTAGATACTAACAGTATTAAGTCTTCTGATCCATGAACATGGGAAATCTGTCCATGTACTTAGGTCTTTAACTTGTTCCAACAATGTTTCTAGTTTTCGGTGTCCCCGTCTGACACTTCTGTAGTTAAATGTATTCTTTTGGATGCTACTGTAAATGGGATTGTTTTCTTAATTTCATTTTTGGATTAGTCATTGTCGTACATAGATACAGGGTTGGTTTTTGTTCATTAATCTTGCATTCTGCAACCTTGCTGAACTCATTGACTTGTTCTCGCGGATTTTTAGTACATTTCTTAGGATTTTTCTGTGCACATGATTGTGTCATGTGCACACAGAGAGAGTTTTCCTTCTTCTTTTCCAACCTAGATGCCTGCATTTATTCCTTTTTCTTTCCTGATGATGCTGAGTAGAGCCACCAGCATAACACTGAATAGAAGTGGCAAGAGTCGACAACTTTGTCTTACTCTCAGATGATTTAAAGAAAAGCACGTCTCCACGTGGTCCTATTCTTGAGAAGCTCAATTGCACAGTCTCCACTGTGAGGTTGATACGTGAAACCGAGGTTGGCATTCATGGGTGGGACAGCTTGGGAAGACTTCCTGAAACAAACAGGATTTGGCTCAGACGGGAAAAGGTCATCGTTGGGCGGGGTCAGCACGTGAACATAGAGAAAAACGGGTGTGAGTTGAGTGTGAGGATGGAGGGGCTGTGGGGCTGTTACAGGAGGACAGCAGTTGATCACCGTTCTGCAGAGGTCCGCACCCCACTCACCTGTCAGTACCCCCCTGAAGTGCAGAGTTTCTCTAAGTGGGTCCATCGACTGACCCACAGTAGAATCACCCAGGGAGGACGATGGGGAATCTGTTCCTCACCCCAGACCTGCGTGCTGCATCCGGAATCCTGGGAGCCAGATCCCAGGAGCGTCTTCCCGAGTGATCCTCGTGTGTCCTGAAGACATCTCTTCCCCAGCTTTTTGACCTCATTCAGGCCCCCAGTCCCGAGTAGCAGATGATCTTCCCGCCGATGTGGTCCGTGACGTCAGGGCCGCCGGCTGCTCCTGGGGCTCCCTCATCTTCCTCCTTGCCTCAACAGACCAGTCCCTCCTGCCCTCTCCCTCCTCCCATTAGTTGTCTGCAGCCTTGTCCCCACCCCTTCCCACTTCCTGGCGTCGGGCTGGATGGGACCCCGGCGGCTAATGACAGAGTTCGAGCAGCTGGAGGAAGAGCTGGAGGATGCTTCCAGCACATTGTCCCGGCGCTGGGCGCATGTGCGGAGAGAGCCACCGAGCACGTGGACAGGCACATGTCCGAAGGGCGCATGCGAGGTCAGAGCCGTGCATAAATATGAGCATTTGAACGGGGCCTTCTGGACCGCCAGTTGCGCGGATGGGAGAAACCAGACGTACACCAAATTGCTACCGTGACCCCACAGGGGATGCAGTTTATGTTCAGGCTAAGAAGTCGATTTGGCAGGGGTCCTCCATCTCCTGGCTTTTTGTCGTCTTCCCTTCCACGGGCAGGGGAGACCTTCCTGTTTTGGAAACCCTCTGTCTGACCCCGCTGCCCCATCATCTGATTCCCCTCCGCTCAGCCTGGCTTCCCCAGAGGGCACTGTGCCTGTGGGCCCCACTTCTGCCCCAACGAGGCCCCTCCAGCCCTCTCCCGGCTGCAGCCCCCTGGGGCCAGTGGTGCTCTCCCCCGTGCTGTGTGTCCTGCTGTCTGTCTGACCTGCTGTCCGGCACGCAGCACAGGGCTGTTCCCAAGAGGCCGGCTCCTGTGTTCGTCCTTCCCTGTATATCTGTCTCCTGTGTCCACTCTCAGTCTCTGTCTTCAGACCCTCGTTTCTAACCGCCTGACGTCCCCTGACATCACAAATGCAACGTCCCGACCAAACTGCCATCCCCCGCCCGGCCCCCCTTGCTCTCACTTTCCTGGTGCTAGCTGACCGCCGACCCAGCCTGCAGAGCCCGGCTCCATTCGCACTGTCTCCTCCAGGAGCCCACCCGACGTGCCCCGCCTGCTTCAGTCTGTCCCTGAAGCCACGAAACGGACCTTCCACCCAGTCCCAGCCCCTCTCTGTGTGTGTGAGCAGGACAAACACTTAAATGTTTGCTCAGGACACAGCTGATGCCCAAGACCCCCTAGAAGGCTACTCTCCAGGGGCTCCCACTCTTCTTGGCAGCTTCTCGATGCCTCGAGGGCCTTCGCTCGCTCTTTTGGCAAAAAATCCTGTACCGCCACCTGTCTGCATTGGGGTACTTGGCCTGTAAATCTCAAGGTCTGTCCTGGACCTTCCAGGTTTCTCATGTATTGTTGAGCTCTGTTTGCACCTAATTGAGTTGTCACCCAGTTGGTGCTCAATAAATGTTTACCAGGTAAATGAAAGAAGAGAAAGTTGCCTTACAGATTTCCCCTGATTAGGGCCTAGGTGGGCCCAGGGTGGGTGTAGACACTCACTCAGAAAATATTTATTGGTTGGTTAACAATGGGGCAACTTTGAATATCAGCCTGAGGTGTTGGGACTCCTCTGTGAGCCGCCAGGGGTCGGGCCGGCTCTGGGCACAAGAGGAAGGTCAGGAGGGTGACCTTGGGCCATGGACGGAGGCATGGTGAGGCACGAGCCGGGAGCGGGGGCGCCCCGGGATTGAGAGGAAGCCAAATGGGTCCGTCTGGAGGGAAGAAGGGACAGGCAACAGGTGTGGAAATGGTCCCATGTTCTGTGCAGGGGGCCGGGCACCGCAATGCCCGTCACAGGCCTGGTCCCGGCTCCGTTCTCTGGAAAGCCCTTCCCAGGAGGTGCGCCGTGCCATCCTGGTTTGCAGGTCAGGAGAGCTGAACCCGGAGCTGAACCTGGAGATTGCGTTTGACCCCAAGGATTGCTTTCTTCCCCCAGCATCTCCCACACATCTGAGGAGGAGGTGGGTTCGGGTCTGAGATCAGAGAAACTGTCCGTGCTGATTCGAGGGGCTGGCTGTGCATGGTTAGGACCCCCAGGCCCATCCTCCTTCTCTGTTACGTGAGGAGCACCCCAAAATTCACAACCACAAGTCCCTGTCCCAAGGTGGACGTCCACCTCGGAAAAAGCGGAGTAGACATAACAAAGGACTGCCCAACAGGCCGAGCTCAGAGGCCCCCAAGAGGCTGAGCCCTTCTGGGGGGGCTAGGGTCCTGCAGGCAGATGAGAACTGGGTCCAGGCTCCCAGCCACTCCCATCGGTCCCTGTGCAGTGACACTTTCTCCCTTTCCTGGGGGGCGTACTGTTTTGTTAGACCTGCTCAAGGTGGTTTTGTCATCGGCGTGTTTTTGTTGGGTAATTTCAGCTGGAGCTTGGCCGGGTCAGCCCAGTCCCCTGGGGAGCACGAGGAGGGAGCCCCTCGGCACCTTCCCTCACGGCTTCCCCAGAGCAGGTGTGGGCTGTTCTCAGGCTACTGCGTGCCGGGCCCAGGCTGGGTGCTGGACACGCTGCTGAGCAAGGAGGGTTCCAGCCCTTTCTTCTGGGAGTTTCCGGGCGAGGAAAGTCACGGTCTCGGTGCGCGGTGGTGTGCGCTCTGAGGGGATGTACAGGGGAGGCGGCTGCGTGTCCAGGCCTTCAGGTCCCCTTGCCGGGAAAGCGAGCATGGTGGGGCGTCCAGTGTGGACACCCTGCAGCAGCCTCGGGCTGGTGTCTCCCCGCCATCCGGCCCGTCCAGGTTAGGTTCCGCTGCTGGTGGCCATGGAGGAGCAGTCAAGGGTTCTTTTGTTTTCCAGAAAGCCTATGCTGGGTTTCAGAATTGGGGAGAAAGGAGTTTCAGGTTATATACTTTTCAGATGATCAGCCCAGAGGCCTGGGTGCTGCCTGGGGAGAGTGTTCTGGGTGGTGTCACCCCCTGCCTGCCAGGCCTGCAGGTGGCCGAGGGGTGGGTGGCCTCCCCGCAGCCGTGCTGGCTGCTTGCTCTTGGTCCAGCAGGCAGTGAGCCTCTTTGGAGGCTTTGTCTGAGCCCTTTGAGCCTCTCCTCCTGGCACCGCCTGGCTCCAGAAAGCCCCCTGCCCCTCCCAGCGGCCCTCTCTGTCCACCGCTCTCCCGCCCTTGGGCTCAGGATGACCTCAGAGAAGTGAAGAAGCGGGAAAGGGACAGGAGGAGGGGGCTTCTGGATTTCAAGCCCCCTGCTAGCGTTCCTCCTCCCTGCTTTTTTTTTTTTTAAGATTTTATTTATTTATTCATGAGAGAGAGAGAAGCAGAGGGAGAAGCAGGCTCCCAAGGAGCAGGAAGCCCAATGTGGGACTCGATCCCAGGACTCTGGGATCATGACCTGAGCCGAAGGCAGACGCTTAACCATCTGAGCCACCCAGGCGCCCACTTCTCCCTGCTTTTAAAAACTCACAGGGGCGCCTGGGTGGGCTCAGTCGTTAGGCGTCTGCCTGGGTCCTGGGATCGAGCCCCACATCGGGCTTCCTGCTCAGCGGGAAAGGCTGCTTCTCCCTCTCCCACTCCCCCTGCTTGTGTTCTCTTTCTCACTGTGTCTCTCTGTCAAATACATAAAATCTTTAAAAAAGTTAAAAAATTAAAAAAAAATCTTTTACCGAACACACGCACTCTGTGCCGGGCACCGTCTCAAGCTCTTGATGGGCATTGCCTCGTTTACAGGTGACCCCAGCTCCAGAGGCACACACTCGGAGCCTGCAGACGCTGTTTGTCACTGCCTGTGGGCTCCCATGCTGTCATCTCTCCCCTTCTTTGGACTTCTCCTGTAGAACACGACCTCTGAGCCGATCCATGAAAACTACAGCTGGATCTGGGTTCCCCCGAAGCCCACTCCAATATACCCGTGCTCACTCATCTGACGGGATACCTCTCTCCCCGCTCTGTTCCGAAGTCCCAACACCTTGTTCTTTCTCTCTCTCCACAGGACCCTGCTGGAATCTTCGAGCTGGTGGAAGTGGTCGGCAATGGAACGTACGGACAGGTGTACAAGGTCAGGCTCTAATGGGGCAGGAGCGTGAGGCTCCTCCATGGGGCCCTCAGGAGGGGTGGCGGGAGCAGGGCCTAGGTCTGGGGCTGTGGGAGGTGACGGAGGGCGGGAGAGGGGAGGAGGGCGAAAGTAACGGGGGAAGGAAGCTCAGGACGTGGGGTGCTTTTGCTGGCCAGTGCGTGGAGTCTCCCTGAGTCCCGGGTGCAGTAGGAGGAGGTCTGGATCCGGGCGGGGTGTGGGCCGGGGCACAGGAAGGCAGTGGCGAGAGACTATGTGTTCTCATGTGTGTATTCATGTGCATGCGTGTATCTGTGTGCAAGTGTGTGCACATATGTCTGTATCCGTGTACATGTGTGCATGTGTGTCTGTGCGTGTCCATGTGCGTGCACATGTGTGTCCGTGTGCGTGCATGCGTGCATATCTGTGCGTGTGCGTGTCGGGGCTCACCCGAGAACTCAGGGCAGAGCTCAGGCCACAAGCACAGCCCTGGCTTTTCTTCCAAGACTGCAGCGAGGCCCAGCCTTGGCGCTGGTGGAGCCCCAGGACCTGTCGCCGAGGGGAAGTGGTTTTCTCGAGCTCCCGGGCCAGCCTGCAGTGGGTCTGGAGCCAGAGCTCTGGCCTTCTCCTCCGGGCCGCCCCGGACTGTTGCTTGTTGCTTTAGCCTGGCCCACCCAGCCCGACCACGGGTCCCACTAGGAGGGGGAGACGGCATGTTAGATGTTCCCCAGAGCTGGGGCCTCCAAGGCGCACACCCGCCTTCTGCATCTCCTGACACAATGCTAGGCCTTTCCACCAGTCTCTGCATCTCAGGGACATTTCCTGGGTCACTGGGACCACCCTGTACGCTTTGGGGAAAGGTGCGCCCCTCCCCATTGCTAGCCGGGTCATTGCCGTGGAAATAGTAGCTCTGTGTTCTGCTTCTCTGGGCTTGGGGTCTTGGGTGACTGCTGAGGACAAGCATGATCCACGGGCTGCCCCCCCCCCCCCCAACTCTTCCCCAGGAAGCCTGGACTCTCTGGTCCAAGGCTGGGATGGCTCCTGGGGGAATGTCAGAGGGAGGAGGGGGGAGGAGGGAGAATGGCAGGGACATACTCTAGAAGTTACTTCCATTAGTGCATCGACAGGCCAGTCCAGCCTTCTGGGTTTCCCCGAGTTCCCTAAAATCCCAACTCTGTCTATTCTTTCCTGCCAATAATAATAAAAAGCCTTGGAGGGGGTGATTCTGGGAAAGGCTTCCTGGCGGGGGGAGGGGCACACGAGGCAGTGTGTGGGCATAGAAGGTGTCAGAGAGGCAGAGCCCTCTCCCGGCCTCCCCCAGCTTCCCCCAGCTTCCTCCGGAGAGAGGAAGAGGCCGGAGAGAACCTTTCACTCCCTGCTCTATTTTTCAAACTGTGGGAAGTCCAGAGCAGAGGTGAATCTCCCTCGCCTCCCTAAGCTGTTTTAGGGAGGAGACCCTTCATCTTGATGCAGCTTAGCGCTTGGAGTCCAGGCTCCATAGTGCTTAGAGGCCTCTGCCTTCCCCTGTGACTGACCCATAAAAAGTGTCCAGTCACCATGGGGACACTTTCTAAGACAGAAAGCCAGAGGGCGTGGCCTGTCCCAGAATCACGCCGTCCCTGGATGCAGACTCAGAGCCTCCACGCCCGGCTCTCTGTCCCGCAGGGTCGGCACGTCAAGACTGGGCAGCTGGCTGCCATCAAGGTCATGGACGTCACGGAGGTAGGGGGCCATGGGGGCAGATGGCGGGCTGGGGCACTGAGGCGGGCTGGGGGCTCTCGGGCTCAGCCCTCCCATTCCCCTAGGATGAGGAGGAGGAGATCAAACAGGAGATCAACATGCTGAAGAAATACTCTCACCACCGCAACATTGCCACCTACTACGGGGCCTTCATAAAGAAGAGCCCCCCCGGGAATGATGACCAGCTCTGGGTGAGACGGCCCCCGCCACCCCAGCCCTCGCTACTTCCAGGCTCACCCACAAGCCAGCCTCGGCCCCCAGCCCTCCCTGAGTCTACACAGCCTCCCTGCCTCCCAATCCAGAGTGCCTCCTGGCTCGCACGCTGCAGCCTCTTATCCTCGGAGCGTCTGGAGGGCCCCGGGGTCCTGGGGGTTTGCCCGCACCTTGTCCTCACCAGGAGCTTATACTGTGTGCGGCCCATACTTCCTAGGCGGTGGGCATCGTCACTGAGCCAGGGCTAGGGCAGGAGGTGAGTCCGTCAGTCCTGCCTTCACGCACAGCTCCGGGGGAAGCCATGGCCCCAAATACTGTGTGCAGAGGCAGGGCTCGGACCCTCTGGGCAGAGCACAAGCCCTTCTGGATGATTCCTCTAACCAGAGCTTGATGTGGCTCCTTTGAGCCTCCCCCAAATTCCCTCCCGGCCCAGAACATTCCTGAGAGTCTGTGCCCTCCGGGGCCTGGGCCCATTCCCCAGCCTTGACCTTCCTGCTCCGAAGCCTAGCCCCGGGAGAGAGTGCCAGGGAGCGCGGCGGTGGGCTTGGGGCTCATGCTGGGTCTCCCCTCCCGCCATTGCCAGACGGGTACTTACTGAGCACCTTGTGTGTACTCTGCACAGATGGGCTGAGTCACGTCCCCATTTCCAGGGCGCTCACACACAGACTGTGCCCTAAGCAAGGGCAGCACAACTTCCGGGGGGTAACCTGCCAGCTGTGTGTAGTGGGAGATCCTGAGCACCAGAGGCTAGGCGCTGGCCGCACTGGACACCCCGTCCCCCGGAGGGAGAGGCCCAGGCCCAGATGGGCAGTGTGCAGATGCCCTTTTTCACACGTACAAGTGTACGCATTCCCGCCTGGCGGGTCTCTGCGTCGGATGTGGGCTTTTGGAAAACGTGCAGTGAAACTCCGGCACAGGCCTCCCGATCCCAGGGCGCTGACCGTGGCTTGTGCTGGGGTCTTCCCAGAACCCCTCCTGCAGCTTGCCGCTTGGTCTCCTGCAGGCCTGGAGAATCTTTCTTAGCGCCCGGTCTTGCCTCTGGGCCAGGGCTTGGCCAACCTTTCCTTGGCCGTGAAGGCCGGGCAGCAGGTGTCTGGGGCTCTGTGGACCCTGCAGTCTGTCACGGCTCCTCAACGCAGCTGCTGGGCCCCCAAACGGCCACAGGAAGTGCACCTCTGAACGGGGACGGGAGTGTCACTGGGCTCCCGGAAGCCTTTAGTTAGGACACTCAAACTTGAGTTTTATAGGATTCTTAGTTTGGTTGTTTTCAACCATTTATAAATGTAAAGACCAGGTTTCGCTCGCTGGCTAAAGTTTGCCAACCTGCACTCTGGGATGGTAGTTGTGGTTTTGGGCTGTGGGTCCCCACGGGGCCCTGACGAAAGCCCCGGGCCCATCCCCAAGGAAGACATGTGCATGCACCTCATTCTGTCTAGTTTCCAGGGTTCCTTGGGCTCCTCAATAGGACCCAGACTGTCTCCCTCAGCCCTGCCTGCCCTGTCTTTCCCGACTGCATGGCCTTCTGCTCTGCAGCTCACCCAGTTGTGGCCCCAAGGCCTCTGGCCCTCCTTCCAGGAGGCTGGCAGGGGAAGGAGGCCCTGCCTGACGGATGCTTCCCCCCGCCCCCCGCACCCCCGTGCCTCCCTGGGCCCATAGCTGGTGATGGAGTTCTGTGGTGCTGGTTCCGTGACAGACCTGGTGAAGAACACGAAAGGGAACGCTCTGAAAGAAGACTGTATCGCCTACATCTGCAGGGAGATTCTCCGGGTGAGCACCAGCCTCTCCCTGGACACGGACCCTCCCTGCCCCGGGGAGACCCCAGGCGGCTCGGGGGTGGGAGACCGAGGCCGGCCCTGGAGAACTCTCTGGCAGTTGGCGGGGGCGGGGGGCGGAGGACAGGCACCTCTGCCACTTCACCTGCCACCCTGCAGCTGCTGGGCCTTCTCTGAGGATGCTCCCCACTGACATGCAGCCTCCGCTTGGGCTCCGGGGTGGGGAGGGGCTGCCCCCCATCTCCCCCTCTGCTTGCTCACGTCCCCGCCCACCCTCTGGCCGCAGGGTTTGGCCCATCTCCATGCCCACAAGGTGATCCATCGGGACATCAAGGGGCAGAACGTGCTGCTGACGGAGAACGCCGAGGTCAAGCTAGGTACGCCCGTTCCCTCGCGGCAGATGGGGCTCTCTGACCTGCAGGACAGAGTGAGAGGCTGGGAGTCTTGCTCCCGCCCTTCCCCATCTCCTCCCTTGCGAGCCCCCCGCCCCCGGCTGGAAATCAGTCCCGAAGTTTCCCCCCTGCTACCTCTGTGTCCCAGGTGCTGTGCAGGTTCCTCCAGCCTGTCCCTTGGCCCTTTCGCATTGGTTTTCTCCCAAGACGCAGGGGGGGAATGTGGATGGGGCGGCAGAGGTGTCCGGGGATGTCTGGAGAGGCCAGGATCTCTGCTGCCCCTGGGGCACGGACCTGCCAGCGCCAAGAGCCTCCATGATGACCCCTCCCTCTGTGTCTTCCCAGTGGATTTTGGGGTGAGTGCTCAGCTGGACCGCACTGTGGGCAGGCGGAACACTTTCATCGGGACCCCCTACTGGATGGCCCCGGAGGTCATCGCCTGTGACGAGAACCCTGATGCTACCTACGACTACAGGGTATGGGGCGGGAGCCAGGGCGCGCAGAGGCAGCCAAGGGTGGGACGGCGATGAGGTGGTGGGCAGACTGAAGACACGGGGGCCCAGATGGGCCGGGGGACGCAGTGAAGGTGCGGTGGTGTGCTGGCCGTGAGGAGTGGCTCAGCTGGAGCCCAGAAGGAGGCCCTGAAGAGGCCGACATGGTGGGGCAGAGGGCCGTCAGGAACATGCTCTGTCTCTCCTCCTCTCCCCTCTGCAGAGTGACATTTGGTCTCTAGGAATCACAGCCATCGAGATGGCAGAGGGGGCCCCCCGTAAGTGTGGAGCCAGGAGCGGAGGAAGCCCCAGAGGGGCTGTGGGGAGGGGGGCCACCAGGGGAGGGAATGGTGGGAGGAGCTCCTTGAGGCTCTCAGGGGCCAGGAGAGGGACTCATGGTGTCCCCCCCCCATGTGCCAGCTCTGTGCGACATGCATCCCATGCGAGCCCTCTTCCTCATCCCCCGGAACCCACCCCCCAGACTCAAGTCCAAGAAATGGTAGGTCCCTGGACCAGGCCCCCTGCCTTCACCCCTGCATCCAGTGAGGGTGTGCACCACAGAGGGGTGGGGGCTGGGGCCGGGGTTGGGATGCGGAGAAGACCTGAGGGAAACCCAGGTGGCTCCTGGACGGATGATTGCCCTCTCCCACCTCTGAACCCCCCCGCCTTGCGAGGGGCCCTCCCAGCATGAGCCCCCTTCCCTTCCAGGTCTAAGAAGTTCACCGACTTCATTGACACGTGTCTCATCAAGACCTACCTGAGCCGCCCGCCCACGGAGCAGCTGCTCAAGTTCCCGTTCATCCGTGACCAGCCCACGGAGCGGCAGGTCCGCATCCAGCTCAAGGATCACATCGACCGCTCCCGGAAGAAGCGAGGCGAGAAAGGTCTGCGGGCCAGCGGGGAGGTCTTCCTAGGCAGCCCCGCTCCCCGCTCCGGGGCCTAGGCCTGCCGGGGCCGGGGAGCCCTTCTCCCCAAACTTCCAGCCCCGGGGGGGGGGGTTGCCCTCGTCCACCCCCCGCCCCCGCATCCCAGGCAACCTCCCGCACACAGGGCCACCCTGTTACAGCCTGACAGGGGCTCTATGGTGAGCCGGTGCGGGCCTACGAGCGCTGTGGGGTCTGGTCCCCCGCTCTGCCCGGGCCCACGTTCCCAGGAGGCAGGCGGGGCCGGGTGCGCGGCTCTCCCCCGCAGACCGCGTTGGTCAGCCCCACGGAAGGCCCCCCGGCCCGGGGTGGGGTCTGTGCGCTGGCGGAAGGAACAGCGGTGGACTCCCCCTGCAGAGGAGACGGAGTACGAGTACAGCGGCAGCGAAGAGGAGGACGACAGCCACGGGGAGGAAGGCGAGCCCAGGTGGGCCCCGGCCCCGGCGCAGCGGCAGCCGTGCTCCCCGCCGTGGGGTCCCTGGTGTGCGGTGGGGGGCGGGGCGGACAGAGTGGCGGAGCCCACACACCCGCGGCGGGGGCTGGAGGAGCCGGGGGGGGGGGCGGCCCACCGACGGCTGTGGGCTCTGAGCCCCGCGCACGCGCTGACCCCCGCGCCGTCCGCCCGGCCCCAGCTCCATAATGAACGTGCCCGGGGAGTCGACGCTGCGCCGGGAGTTTCTGCGGCTGCAGCAGGAGAACAAGAGCAACTCGGAGGCCCTGAAGCAGCAGCTGCAGCAGCAGCAGCAGCGCGACCCCGAGGCGCACATCAAGCACCTCCTGCACCAGCGCCAGCGCCGCATCGAGGAGCAGAAGGAGGAGCGGCGGCGCGTGGAGGAGGTGGGGCGGCCCCCGGGCGGGGCGGGGGGCGGGGCTCCGCGGCCCCTCAGACCTGTGCGCAGAGGCGCGCTGCCCCCCGCCGGCCCCGCGTGCGGGGTGTGGGCGGCCCGCGGAGTGGACGCCTTCCGCACGGACAGGCTGGTCCCGCCCCTTGCGTGTGCGGAGCTCCCGCTCCGTGCGTCCCGCGGGATCTCGGGCGTCCGCACGCACTCCGGCGTCCTGGGCGGGGACCGCGGGCGGCATCTGGTTTGATCCGGAAGCCCCGTCGGAAGACTCTCCTGTGATTCTTGGTTGTTTGGGCTTAGATTTGCTGGGAAGTACAGTCTTGTCCCTTGGACGTTGGAGGTGGTGAGAGAAGTACCTTTTAATTAATAGAGAGTCTTACTTTTAAACAGCAGAGTTTTTTTAAATCACCAACTTAAAAGGCGCGCATCCGTATACGTCGTGCTTAGATGCGTTTGTTCTGCGGGAGGGACCTGGTGAGGAAGGAGAAGGTGTAAATACGGCCTTCAACGTGGGGGCTTTTGTGGAAACAATTGCATGATTTCAGAGTTCGCGGAGAGCCGGACTTAAAATCGTCCCAGTCCTGGGAGATACCCTCTGCTGCCCCGCAAAGCAGCCCCTGTCCCTGCTGAGCAAAGGCCCAGCCCGGGCCCGGCGGGGAGGGCCGGGGGGCGCAGGTGCCCGGCAGCGGGCGGACGGACGCAGCACCGCGCGTGCCACGGCGTCCCCCTCGCGGGGACGGGCAGGGCGCACGGGGCTGCGGGTTGTAGGGGCCCCTCCGCCGGTCCCCCCCTCGTTGGGACACACTCGCCTGGACCCGGCGCTTCTGCGCGGGCGCCTGCCGCCCCCTTGTGGCCAGAGGCTGTCCGTGCGGCCCACCCCGCGCCGCTGGCGGCGGGGATGGGTGTGAGGGCCAGGGGCTGGGCGCTTGGCTGTCGGGCACTGTGCCGCCGTTGCTTGGCTGGCTTGGTGGAGGAGCGGACAGTGGAGGCATCCCCCGAGGCGGCCCCCAGGGGCAGCAGTCCCCCGCCGCCGTTACCCGCCGCCCCTCCCCAGCAGCCCCAGGGAGAAGGCCTGCCCGCACCGTCCAGCAGAGTTCCCCTTGCCCGCGGGCGCTGGGGGCTGGCCGGGCACCTTTTCCGGGGCTGAGTGTCCGGTGCGGGCCTGAAGAGCACCTCCTCGCACCCACAGCAACAGCGGCGGGAGCGGGAGCAGCGGAAGCTGCAGGAGAAGGAGCAGCAGAGGCTCGGGGACATGCAGGCCCTGCGGCGGGAGGAGGAGCGGCGGCAGGCCGAGCGCGAGCAGGTACAGCGCCCCCAGCGCACACCGGACTCACCCGCTCCCTGCCCGGCCTCCCCTCTGCTCCTGCTGCCCGCCTGCCTGCGCCCGGCGCCCTCCCCCGGCTTTCCCGTTCCCCGGATTCCTCCTTTCTTTTCCAGCTTCACTCTCTCTCTGTTTTCTCCCACCCTTCACCCCGCGCCCTGGCTCCTGCCCTCCTCCTGTCTCTGTGCCTTCGTTCCGCGTCTCTCTGCCCCTCCTCCACGCCCCACCCCTGCACCTTCCCTCGCGGGCCCCCCACCCTGGCTTCCTCCTCATCGCCTGCCCTCCCGGGGCTCATCCCACCCGCCTGCCCCCTCTCTGATTCTGCCCGCTCTCCCCCTCGTTCTTACCCCACCGATCCTGTTCTCCAACGCTGCCCCCCCCCCCCGCCCTCTGCCCCCCCCCCGCCCCCCAGGAGTATATCCGTCACAGGCTGGAGGAGGAGCAGCGGCAGCTCGAGATCCTCCAGCAACAGCTGCTCCAAGAACAGGCCCTGCTGCTGGTAACGGGGCCCCCGGCTTCCTCTGGGAAGGAGCGGATGCAGAGCCTCTGTGCCGCAAAGGGACGGGGACACTTCCGGGAAGGGGACCCGGCCAGGCGACCTCCGGGCAGCTGGAGCAAGGGCCTGCCTGCCTCCGCTCCGGGCCGCGCTGAGCCGGCTCTCCCTACCCTTGGGCCCAGGAGTACAAGCGGAAGCAGCTGGAGGAGCAACGGCAGTCCGAGCGGCTCCAGAGGCAGCTGCAGCAGGAGCACGCCTACCTCAAGTCCCTCCAGCAGCAGCAAGGCCTGCCCGGGGACAGGAAGCCACTGTACCACTACGGCCGGGGCGTCAGTCCCGCCGACAAGCCGGCCTGGGCCCGAGAGGTACTGGCCGCTGCTCGCCCGCCCCTCCACGCCAGGAGCTGCAGGGGGCGGCCGCCCCGCAGGCCGGGGAAGGGGGAATGTGGCATTGGGCGTGGGCCTGAGGGCCGGTCGGGAAGGGGGTGGGGCGGCCGTGCTGTGAGGACGGGGGAGCAGAGCCGGCCGGGCCCCTTTCCCGCCGCAGGTCGAGGAGCGAACGAGGATGAACAAGCAGCAGAACTCCCCCTTGGCCAAGACCAAGCCCAGCAGCACAGGGCCTGAGCCCACCCTCCCCCAGGCCGCCCCAGGGCCTCCGGGCCCCCTTTCCCAAACTCCTCCTATGCAGAGGCCGGTGGAGCCCCAGGAGGGACCGCACAAGGTGAGCCTCTCCCCGGTCCCGTGTGAGCACGCACACGTGGGAGCCTTCCTTTGCATGGCTGCGGCACAGCTGTGTGCTCACACGTGCACACGATACGTGCACGTACGCACACATGCCCTCAGCCAGGGGTCACGGATCTCGGTACGGGGGCAAAGACAGCCCCTTGCCTGCCGTGCGTGAGTCTGGTCCCGTCTCGGCTGTTCTGGGGCTTCCAGAACTCCTCTCCTCGGACGGACAGTTGGAAGCCAGAGGCTTTCCTCACTCCCTCTTCCCAGAGCGGGCAGCCCACCCTCCCTGGTCTTTCCCTGCAGAGCCTGGTGGCGCACCGGGTCCCACTGAAGCCATATGCAGCGCCTGTACCCCGATCCCAGTCCCTGCAGGACCAGCCCACCCGAAACCTGGCTGCCTTCCCAGCCTCCCCTGAGCCCGACCCCGCCATCCCCACGCCCACTGCCACGCCTAGCGCCCGAGGAGCCGTCATCCGCCAGAATTCAGATCCCACCTCCGAAGGGCCTGGCCCCAGCCCAAACCCCCCAGCCTGGGTCCGGCCTGACCCTGAGGCCCCCCCCCAAGGTAAGGGCCCTACCACGGGACCGAGAAAGAGAAGAGAAACAGGAAGGACAAGGAGGAGTTGTTGGGCGTGGGCAAGGCGGAGATGGGGTTCAGGGCTGGAAGGGAAGCGAAGGGCCAGGCGCCTGCCCTGGGCCCTGTCCCGCGAGCTTTACAGGCCAGAGGGCGGGCTGCCTGCTCGGGGACTGCGTCCCTGCTCCCAGGGCTGAGTGAGGGAACGGAAGGAAGCATGCCCAGGGCTTTTGAGGAAGCCCCAGGCGGGCAGACTTGCTGGGCTGGAGTCCCAGCTTCATGACAGTGGAAGATTCGGGAGCTTCCCTGACCTCGGTTTGCGTGTCCGCGGAAGCTGGGGAGAACAGCTGTTGGGGCCGAGGCAAGGGTGCGTTTCAGGGGCGGCCAGTAGGGCGCTGGTACCACGCACTGACCTGCTCCCCGCTCAGGTGCCTCAGAGGACCTCCTCCATCGCTGCCGCCCTCAACACCAGTGGGGCTGGAGGGGCCCGGCCCACTCAGGCTGTCCGCGCCAGGTAGCCCCTGGGGGGGAGGTTGCATGGTGGCCCCGGGGCGGGGGGGGGGGGTCACAGGAGAGGTTGCTAGGTTACCCACTTAGGAGTGGGCAAGCCCTACCCCGTCACCTCAGCGCCCCCTGCCCCGCCCCCCGGCACCCCTGTGCTCCCTCCACAGACCTCGCAGCAACTCCGCCTGGCAAATCTATCTGCAAAGGCGGGCAGAGCGGGGCACCCCCAAGCCTCCAGGGTCCCCTGCTCAGCCCCCTGGCCCGCCCAACGCCTGTAGGTAATGGAGTTGTGTTCCCCCCCCCCCCCCCCCGCTCTCACTTCTGCCACGGGCTTCTCTTCCACCCCTGGTGGTGGCCCCCTCTGTGCTGCAGCTCCATGCTGGAAGGGGGGGGGGGGCACCTGTTCTCCTGACCTGCCTCTGCCCTCCTACAGCAACCCTGACCTCAGGAGGAGCGACCCTGGCTGGGAGCGCCCAGAAGGCGCCCTCCCCTCTCATGGGCACCTGCCCCAGGCTGGCTCGCTGGAGCGGAACCGCGTGGGAGGTACGGCCCGCCCACTCTGCGGCCTGTGGGCTGGTCTGTCAGATGGACCCTGCCCTCGGGGGCTCGGCGGCGGGGGGCAGGGGCCCCGGCTGGCTGTGGATCACCGAGGGTGGCCAGGTGTCCGTGACCTCCCTTCTCCCACCTTGCCTGATCCAGCCTCCTCCAAACTGGAAAGCTCCCCAGTGCTCTCCCCCGGCCACAAAGCCAAGCCTGAGGACCACCGCTCCCGGCCGGGCCGGCCCGCAGTAAGTCACCGGAAGCAGCTGTGGCCCCATCTGCTCCCGGGTGGGGGCTTGGGGCCTTGGAGCCCCCAGGGGCCCCGGCCGGGCCCTCTGTAAACTGGTACGAAGGGGCCGTGGGCTGCACTTCTCAGCTACTGACCTCTCTTCACCTCTCTCCTGCTCTTCCCGGCTGCCCTTGCACCCCTGCGGCCCCTCCCAGAGCTATAAGCGCGCCATTGGTGAGGTCAGTAAGGCCTGCTTGGGGAACCCCCGTTGCCTGCTCCTTTTCTGGCTGCCTTCCTTCCCGCTCCCCTCCCTCCCCACTCTTACCTCCTCACGCGCCGGGCCCCCGCCCCCACAGGATTTCGTGCTGTTGAAAGAGCGAGCCCTGGACGAGGCCCCGCGGCCTCCCAAGAAGGCCATGGACTACTCGTCGTCCAGCGAGGAGGTGGAGAGCAGCGAAGACGAGGAGGAAAGCAACGGCGAGCCATCCGAGGGGAGCAGAGACACCCCCGGGGCCCGGTATGGGGGCATCCTGGGGGAGGGCAGACTCCCCCTTTCCTAGGTTGGGGGACCCTGGCTACCACTGCCCGGCAGGCCCCCTTCCTCTTCTCTAGAGAACGGGGTCTGGGCCAGCATCCCCATGTCGCCCACTGCTGCGGCAGCTGAGGGCGGGCCGCCCCCCCTGGGGCGCCAGCGCGGGGACACACACACCCCCACACCCCGGCAGGGCAGTGTCGAGTGGAGGGGAGGGCACTGGGCCTCCCTCTCGGGCCGCTCCCCGCTGTGGGCAGGACCCGGGGGCAGACGACAGTTCTCTCTCCCGTGGCAGTGACGGGGACACCGACAGCGTCAGCACCATGGTGGTCCACGACGTGGAGGAGATAGCCGGCACCCAGACCCCCTATGGGGGCGGCACCATGGTGGTCCAGCGCGTGAGTGGGGACCCCCCGCCCCCGTTTCGAGCACCTGCCGTGCCCCCTCCTCCGCCCAGCACTGGTTGCCTTTTCTCTGTCCCTCAGACTCCCGAGGAGGAGCGCAGCCTGCTCCACGCGGACAGCAACGGCTACACGAACCTCCCCGACGTGGTGCAGCCCAGCCACTCGCCCACCGAGAGCGGCAAAGGTCACAGCCCCCCCTTGAAGGACGGCGGTGGTGACGTAAGCGGGCAGATGCAGCCCCGGAGCCGTGCGGCAGTGGGCAGGGGCGCTGGGGGGGGGCCCGGGTCGCGAGTGTTCGCCTGACCACAGCTGCACCCCCACAGTACCAGTCTCGCGGGCTGGTGAAGGCCCCCGGTAAGAGCTCATTCACGATGTTCGTGGACCTAGGGATCTACCAGCCTGGAGGCAGTGGGGACACCATCCCCATCACAGGTGAGGACGGGAGGCCGTGCGAGGCGCGAGGCCCCGGGGAGGGTGCAGGCGGCTGCGGCCTCCGCTTGGGCCCGAGCGCCTGCCCGGGGACAGAGGCAGCGAGGGCGCCTGAGGCCCCGTTGGCCCACGGGAAAGATGCTCCGAGCGGCCTGGGCACCCGAGGGACGGGGCGGGGATTTTGCCAGGCCTTCTGTCCCATTTCCACCTTTCTGTGCACCTCCTCCTTTCTGCACCCCTCCCTGGTCCTGCTGAGTGCTCAGAGGAGGCCCCTCCCACCCCGCCAAATCCAGGGCTGCGGTGAGGAGGGACGGGGGAGGGGGCTGCAGCTCTCCTCCCCCTTTCCCTCTCCTCTTCTTCGCAGCCCTGGTTGGGGGGGAGGGCAGCCGGCTGGATCAGCTCCAGTACGACGTGCGGAAAGGCTCTGTGGTCAACGTGAACCCCACCAACACCCGTGCCCACAGCGAGACCCCCGAGATTCGGAAGTACAAGAAGCGGTTCAATTCAGAGATCCTCTGTGCGGCCCTATGGGGTGAGCCGGGGGCGGGGAGAGCGGGGTGCAGCGCACCCCTGTGCTCCAGCTCGGGAGAGGCTGGGCTGCCGGTGACCTGCCCTACGGCTTCCGCTGCAGGTGTCAACCTGCTGGTGGGCACGGAGAACGGCCTGATGCTGCTGGACCGAAGCGGGCAGGGCAAGGTGTACGGGCTCATCGGGCGGCGGCGCTTCCAGCAGATGGATGTGCTGGAAGGGCTCAACTTGCTCATCACCATCTCAGGCACGCGGGGCGCACGTGGGGCGGGGACCCCCGGGCTCTCTGTTGCCACCTGCAGCCCGGGGGGGGGGGGGCCCCGGGGGGGCCCCCGGGGGGGGGGGGCCCCTTGGGGGGGGGGGGGCTGGACCTCCGGTGAGGGCTGTGTGTCCGCTCTCAGGGAAAAGGAATAAATTGCGGGTGTATTACCTGTCTTGGCTCCGGAACAAGATTCTGCACAACGACCCAGAAGTGGAGAAGAAGCAGGGCTGGACCACCGTGGGGGACATGGAGGGCTGCGGGCACTACCGCGTGGGTGAGGAGGCCCCCGCAGAGGGGTTGAGGAGGACACGGAGCCAGGGGGCCTGGGCCGCGTGGCCGAGCCTCGACGCCAGAGGCTGGGTGACTGGAGGAGGGGGCGGGGCGCGCTCGGTGACTCGCCTGGGGGACCCTCTCCTTCCCTGCCCCCCAGTGAAATACGAGCGCATTAAGTTCCTGGTCATCGCCCTCAAGAGCTCCGTGGAGGTGTACGCCTGGGCCCCCAAGCCCTACCACAAGTTCATGGCCTTCAAGGTAGCCCCGGCTGCGGACCCCCCACCTGCCCGGCCCCGCTGGCCACCCCCCGCCACGGCCCCTGAGCCCCTCCCTCTCCGCAGTCCTTCGCCGACCTCCCTCACCGCCCCCTGCTGGTCGACCTGACAGTGGAAGAGGGTCAGCGGCTCAAGGTCATCTATGGCTCCAGCGCCGGCTTCCACGCCGTGGACGTGGACTCGGGCAACAGCTACGACGTCTACATCCCCGTGCACGTAAGCGGGGGGGGGCCGTGGGGCGGGGCCGCCGGCCCTCGGGCTCTGGGTGCCCGGCCTGCAGCCCGCCCTGTGCCCCCCAGATCCAGAGCCAGATCACGCCGCACGCCATCATCTTCCTCCCCAACACCGACGGCATGGAGATGCTGCTGTGTTACGAGGACGAGGGTGTCTACGTGAACACCTACGGGCGGATCATCAAGGACGTGGTGCTGCAGTGGGGAGAGATGCCCACCTCTGTGGGTGAGCGAGGCGCCCGCGCCCCCAGCAACCCCCCGCCCCCCCCCCCCCCCCCGGGCCGGAGCTGCAGCCCACTCACTGCCCCTCATCCCCTCCGCCCCCAGCCTACATCTGCTCCAACCAGATCATGGGCTGGGGCGAGAAAGCCATCGAGATCCGCTCGGTGGAGACCGGCCACTTGGACGGCGTCTTCATGCACAAACGGGCCCAGAGGCTCAAGTTCCTGTGCGAGCGGAACGACAAGGTGGGAGCCCCTTGTCCTGGCCTGGGCCGGCCGTCCGTTCTTCCTGGGAGGGGGTTCTGGGGGCGCAGCCTGCCCTTCCCTGGCCTTCAGTTTCTGGGAGCCCCGCCCTGCTCCCCAGACCCCTTCCCCGTGGCTGCCGGCTGCCTCTCCCCAAGCATCTCGGCCTCTGGGGTGGGAGGCGCCACCACTGCGTTGTGCGGTTTCTAGCCGTCTCCTCTCTCCTGCGCCCAGTTAACCGAGACCCCCCCAGCCCTCAGTGCCGACTTGTGCTGCCCCACAGGTGTTTTTCGCCTCAGTGCGCTCCGGGGGCAGCAGCCAAGTTTACTTCATGACGCTGAACCGTAACTGCATCATGAACTGGTGATGGCGCAGCCGTGCCCACAGCCAGACCCCCCAGGCCGCCCTTCTTTCCCCTCCCCGGGCTTTTGCTTTTGACTGGTTTGATTCACTGGAGCCTGCTGGGAACGTGACCTCTGACCCCTGATGCTTTTGTGATCACGTGACCATCCTCTCTCTTGCCCCCCCCCCATACGTTCTTCTCTCCAGAACTGTGCCTGTCCCGATTCCGGGGAGAGGTACAGCTTCCCCTTCCCCGGAATCGGGATGGCCGAGCCCCACCCCCCTTTTCTCCGCTTCAGAGGAGAGTGCTTGGGGCGTGGACCCCGGACCCCACTGCTGCTGACCGGGCAGGGCCCTGGGCCCCTTCATTTGCACGTCAGGGGAGCCGGCTCCCCCCTTGAATGTACCAGACCCTGGGGGGGGTCACTGGGCCCTAGGTTTCAGGGGGGTTGCCCGCCACTCCAGGGGCAGGGACCATTTCCTCATTTTCTGAAAGCACTTTAATGATTCCCCTCCCCCCAAACCCCAGGGACTGGAGGGGGGACCCCGCCAGCCAAAACATTTCCCCCTTTCCAACCCCATTTCTTTCTAGCCTCTGTCCTTCCCTGGTGGAGGGAGGGAGCAGGGAGCTCTCGCCCCCCCACCCCGCACCCCCTTGCTTGCCTCTGTATATAGTGTGAGCAGCAAGTAGCCCCACCCGCCCTGCTCCTCCTCAATGTAGTGGCCTTGGATATTCCGTTTGTTAATAAAGACAATTCAACCAGCTCCTACCATCTCGGGCCTGTTTTACTGTTTTCTTTCCCAGCCCTGGATACCAACCAGCGGAAGCCTGCAGGGCTGGGAGGGAGGGAGGGGGCGGCTGAGGGGGCCTTATCCCTGTGGCCTTGGGGGGGGCCTTCGCTGAGGGCATTTGGCTCCCCCCGGGGAGGCCCTGGCTTCCTGGTTCCAGCCGCCTCACGTGAAGTCCCATGGAGGGGCCCCTTCGGTTTTCAACCCGGAAGGAGGCAGCAGCTTCTAGAGAGAGAGGGTCACAGGGGCCGGGGGGGGGGGCTCAGAACTGGGGGGTCAGCAAGGCTGGATGGAGGGGTGATGAGTGGTTTCTGGAGTACTGTCGTCTGCTTCCGATCTCCCGACCGGTGGCCGGACCTACACAAGCACGTGCACACACCCCCACGTGCACGCGTACAACCCCACGTGGGGGCAGACACCTCATGTGTACAAACAACCCCCCCCCACGTGTGCAGACACCCCCACGTGCTCACGCAGACCCGTGTGCACACCCCCCCGTGTGCGCGCACCCCCCCACGTGTGCAGACACCCCCACGTGTGCAGACACAACCCCACGTGCTCGCGCAGACACCCCCACGTGTGCAGACACAACCCCACGTGCGGGCGCGCACAGCTCCTCTGTGAAGTTGGCGAAGCGCGGGTTTATTATGGCAGCGGGTAAAGGCTCACAATACAGCATGGGCCAGCAGCATGTTTTTCAAAATCGGTTTCCTTCCGGAAATGGGAGCGGGGGGAGAAGCCGTCTACATACACGGCGGGTAGGGCAGCTCGGGCACTTGGTTGAAGTAGCCACCGAGGAAGATGAGGCTGGACCCCACGCCGAAGAGCACCAGGGCGGCCCAGAAGCAGATGTTGTCCAGGGCCTTCCCCATGCGCACCCAGTCGGACACCTCCTGGGGAGGGGGCGGACACAAGCTGCGTCTCCCGCGGCGCCAGGGACGAGGCCTCCAGGTGACCACCCGCCCCCGCCCCCCGGGGCCTGTCCCACCTCGCCGGAGGCCTCCTGGTCCCGCGTGCTCTCGGCCACGAAGTTCACGGCGTCCACGCAGCAGCGGACCTCGGGGGCGGCGGCGCCCAGGCTCTGGCAGAGGGCGGCTGGTGGGGCGCACGGGAGGGGAGGGTCACCGGGGTGCCCGCCCCGCCGCAGCCGTCCGCGCCAGCCCGCCCGCCCGGGCCCTTCTGCTCACCGGTCCAGGCCCCGTGCCGGTGCCTCTGCCCCTCAAACACGAGCTCGCTCCGCGGCTTTTTCAGTATCAGCTCCTCGGCGCGGAGCAGCAGGCCCACGGACGACGCGCGCCTGGGCGGGGAGGTGGTCTGGGGAGCCTCGCGGGGCGCGCCCGAGCCCAGGAGGCGCGGCAGCAGCTCCAGCAGGACCTGGCGGCGGGGCGGGCCGAGCTCGAGGCCCCGCCCGCCCGCGGCCGCGCCCCGCCCGCCCGCGGCCGCGCCCCGCCCACCCGGCGCTTACGTGGCGCAGCCGAGGGGACACGGTGTGCGTGGTGGGCGTCCGCAGAGACACATTGAGCACGATGACGCAGTTCATGACGATGATCGTGGCAACCACCATGACGAAGATGAGGTACCTGCGGGGCCCGCCGCGCGTGACCTCACAAACGGCCCTCCCCGCCGGGGAGGCTGCTCCTCCCCAGCGGGGCCAGACAGCGCGCGCGGACCCGATGCCGCCTTTTCCGCCGGCGGCCATGAAGGGGACCCCCAGCTCCCTGGAAACCCTGCTGTGGGTCTACCACTTCCACAGCTCCACGGAGGTGAGGCTACGCCAGCGGCCCCGCCCGCGGCTGGCGGCCCTGTGAGCTCTGCCCCGTGACCCGACGGCCCCGACGCCCCCGCTCCTTATGCAGGTGGCCTTGCAGCCCCCGCTCCTGTCCTCCCTGGAACTCGCCGTGGCCGCAGCCCACGAGTATCTGGAGCAGAGGTTCCGAGAGCTCGAGTCCCGCGAGCCGCGGGAGCTTCAGGGGCCGCCCGCCCCGAAGCCCACCCTGGGACTGGTGCTGAGAGAGGCCGCGGCCAGCGTCGTGAGCTTCGGCGCCACCTTGTTCGAGGTGGGGCGCGAGGGGCTTCGGGGGGGCTGCCGAGGGGCGGAAGGGGCTTAGAGACCCCTGCATCCCCCACCAACTCCTGCACCCCCCACCGCAGATCTCAGCCCTGTGGCTGCAGCAGGAGGTGCGGAGACTGGACGGCGGCGCCGGCAGCCCGGGCCCAGCCCCAGGCGCCGGGGACCCGGGCGGAGCGCTGGCCCGGGTAGCCCAGGCCGCGGGGCACGGGGCTCGGCAGGCGGCAGCTGCGGCGGGCGCGAGTGCCCGGCTGGTGCTGCAGGGGGCGTGGTTGTGCCTGTGCGGGCGGGGCCTACAGGGGTCCGCCTCCCTCCTGCAGCAGTGGGGGCGTCAGCTGGGCCTCGAGACCGCCGGGGGACCGGTGAGTTCAGGACGGAGATGGAGGGGGGAGGAGTTGGGGGCCGGAGGCGGCGGGGCTGGGGGTGGGGCACTGAGCCGGCCCGCCCCCGATAGAGATACTCAGGGGACCTCAAGGTGGCGTCCAGCAGCAGCGCGGAGGACGGGGGACCGGAGAACCCCCCGCCGCCCCAGCCCCGCCCCACGCTCGAATAAAGCCCAGCCGGGCCGGGACCCCGGAGATGCTCCCCGTGTCGCGTGGCCATGGCCCCGCCCGCGCGCGTGGGTCCCCTCCGGGACCCTTCGCCGTCACCTGCCCAGCATCGGCACACTCAGCGACGTCTCGGGGATTTTCTGCGCAATCAGGAACAGGAAGACGGTCTGGGCGAGCAGGACGTTGATGGAGACGGTGCACTTCTGGCCGCCGGCTGGAGGGAGCGCCCGGTGAGAGCAAGGCCCCGCCGCCAGCAGCGCGCCCGGGGTTAGGGTCTCGGCCGCCCCTTACCTTGCGCCGGCAGGAAGTAGGCGAGCAGCACCAGGCCCGAGATGAGCACGCAGGGCACGATGATATTGATGACGTAGAAGAGCGGCTTCCGGCGAATGATGAGCGTGTAGATGACGTCGACGACCCCGGGGCCGCCAGCGGAGGCGCCGTCGGGGCGACGGATCAGCCCAGGGCAGAAGTCAATGGCCCACTCGCCGTTCTCTGCGGGGCGGGAGGCTCGGTCAGCCGGCCCGAGGGCCCGCACATCTGGCCGCGACACCTGGGGCTCCGGGCGGGGGAGAGGGTGTGGCCGGCCCGCCCCGGCTGGTGGGGCCACGGGAGGTCTGGGCCGTCCGGGCGAAGGCGGTTCGGGCGGGGAGGGGCGCTCGGGCGCGACCGTCGAGAGTGCTTTCGGGGGAGGGGCAAGGTCAAGGCCGGCTGACGGTGTCCAGCCCCGGCCTCGATGGCCTAGGGCCACCGCACTCGGCGAGTCCCCTCCCTGGACCCCGTCTAGGGGCGGGTTTTCGGAGCAGGAGGCCTCACCAGTGTAGGCCTCGGTATCGATGTCGATCTTGTTGATGGTCTCGCCCTCGTCGTCCACGGCGAAGACGAAGTCCACCTCTTCGGCGTTGTAGGTCTGCGAGCTGCGGAACCAGGGCCGGCCCGCACGGGGGAAAGCTCGGACCCGGCCCGTCCCCCCCCCCCCCCCCCCCAAGTCCCCCCCCCCCCCCCCCTCCCGCCCCTGAGCAGCTCGTCCCACCGGAAGACGAGAGAGCAGTTCTGCCAGTCGAAGGGGAAGTAGGTGACCTCCACGGCGCAGGTGCTGCGGTAGATGGCCGGGGGCAGCCAGCTCACGGAGCCGCCCTCGTAGACCAGCACGTTGGCGTCGTAGGCCACTCCGAACTGGCCGTCAATGCTGTGGGCCGCGACAGAGCGGCGTCCGCCCGGGCCCGCGACCCCCTCGCCCTCCCAGCAAGACCAGCTGCCGCCCGCCAGGTGCAGCCCAGCCCCCCTCCCGCCAGGTGCAGCCCAGCCCCCC